GTAAATCTTGTGCATGCAAAAGACCACTGAAAAACAGGTGAATCAGAACATAACACCGACTGTGACGTTACATTCGGGATCACTAATAGTTACGCCCCTAATATTTGCATATACCCGCCCATGTTCTATGCCAGCCACCAGACGAACCTGCACAGCCGAATCTTCAGAAGTTCTGCAGGTATTGTGAAGAAACAAACGAGGATAATAGCGAAAATGGCAGATCATGGAAATAAATGTTATGTTCCAGGCTGTGCAGGGGATGTGATGTGCAGGGATGGGTTGGTGTCTGTATTCAGAAAGGCACGGAAAACAAATAACGCACGTTCTAATAAAATAACGCGAGCCACTAAAGGGACATGGTTAGCTGCTTGCTAGCGGTAGCCTGTTACATTACAGTACATAAGATTTCACTTACCACATAAACAGAGTAAGGACAGATGACTGAGGATGATGGCGAATGATTTACAGATCCTGAGCACCACTGACAAGCATCTGATCTTGTAAAATGTGTGGCCGCTGTAGTTTACACAGACCACGTGCGATCGCAAATCTCGAAAGTGAAAATAAAAAGCAATCGTGCATTCGAAAGCAGTTTTTTCAATGCCCCCGCATATTAATAGCGGCTCCCTGATGCCCGCATTTTATATACAGTATAATTACCCAACGATATAACTGCGAGAGACAGTATTGAAATAAATATTTTCCCTGTGTTTCCTTCCTGCTGTGTGAGCTACTGAAATGAGCTGCACTGTGAAACAGCCAATCAGAGCAGAGCTCAACATTGAGCCGACCCTGATTAAGACAAGGTGACTTTTTCACTGAATGAAGCGTTATTATGGATAGAGGACTCGTATTTTAGACAAAAGCAACAGTTTAAAGTTAAAAGAGATTTGTTGCAGATTTGTTTCTTACAAACACGCAGCTTATCACTTCACAAGACATTAACTGATGGACTGGAGCGGTGTGGATTACTTGTGTAAATGGACATGTAAAACCATTTCTGGAGATTTTTTGCCCTTACCTAAGCCACCTACCTTCTATGTAGATATCAAAGAATAATTTAAAATATTGCATCAATGCATTCTATGGCACCTTTAATAGACCGGTGACGACTGCACAGAGTAGCATTATAACAGAACTTTCAAATGTATCTAGTATGATAAAACAGCGCTGCTTTTTTTCCCCCACATACGCACGATCGGAAGGAGCGGAAGCGGTCGACTGTGGCATAATAAAAGCTCCGCTGCTTTCGAGCCGTGTGTCGCGCTCGTTTGATTCCACACTCAGTCACGGCGTCATCAAACTACGCCTTTGTCTATTTGTTTATTTTGAATACGCGCCCTCTAGCGGCAAAAATTACATATTGTGACTTTAACATGCATGAACTAATAAAACTGTACGTCTTTAATGCAGTGTATATTTCTACAAATAAAATCACCTGGCTAAATCTGTAACTGTAAATACCCTTTATGCCCAGTTCAGACTACCCGATTTTGCCACGATTTGCTTGACGTAGGGTGTCGTGGGGATTTGTAAACGACAGTGGGCGTCGGGACGCAAGATTCCATCGTTTCAGCACGTGTAGTGTGTCTTAGTGGACGACAACCTATTCCGCGTCTGCGATGCTTCACGACAGAAACACTGCACGCGATGAATGGTCGGGAAGCAACGCGTAGTCTGACATAATAATTTGTTACATTTATATAGCACTTTTCTGGGTACTCAAAGCGCTTTACATGAAAGCGGGGAAATCTCCTCAACCACCACCAGTGTGCAGCATCCACTTGGATGATGCGACGGCAGCCATAGTGCGCCAGAATGCCCACCACACACCAGCTTATTGGTGGAGAGGAGAAAGAGTGATGAAGCCAATCAGTGTATGGGGATGATTAGGAGGCCATGATGGTCAGAGGCCAATGGGCAAATTTGGCCAGGATGCCGGGGTTATACACCTACTCTTTTTCGAAGGACATCCTGGGATTTTTAATGACCACAGAGAGTCAGGACCTCGGTTTAACGTCTCATCCGAACGACGGTGATTTTTACAGTATAGTGTTCCCGTCACTATACTGGGGCGTTAGGACCCACATAGACTGCAGGGTGAGCACCCCCTGCTGGCCTCACTAACACCTCTTCCAGCAGCAACCTAGTTTTCTCAGGAGGTCTCCCATCCAGGTACGGACCAGGCTCAGCCCTGCTTAACTTCAGTGGCCAACCAGTCTTGGGCTACAGGGTGACATGGCTGCGGACATGTTTCTTGTCTACGACACGACAAGATTTTAGGAGTCTGTAATCTGACACAGTAACTATCGTGACCGACAAAAATATTGTGTAGTCTGAACCCGGCATTAGAGAGAACCTGAGAAACTTTTTTTTTTCTCGGTTCTCTGTACCTGCCTTTAATTGTGAAACATCGTATTCGCAATAGAAACTTTTCACATTAGAGTGTCAAACCGTTACATGCATGTTCATGATCCTAAATGAGAAAAATTTACAAAATTTACCAAAAAAAACAATCATAGGTTAACCAGCATTTCCAACAGCTCAAAAATCAGTGTGGGTCAAATTGGCCCATAATATAACATAATATAAGGGCTAGAGAAGATGAATGAAGTGACTAACCCATCCTTGTATTTGATTACTGCATCCACAACCTTCTTCATCTTCTTGGTGAGCGTGGGAGGGTTGGGAGAGAGTTTTTCAGCAGGAGGACGACCTCGTTTCTTTTGCTTCTTACTGTCGTCATCTTTATCTCTGCTCCGCCCACTGGAGCTGGGCGTGGCCGTGCCTGGAAGGTCGAAGTCACGGTCACGCTTCCTTTTCCGGGTCGTTTTCTTGTAGCGCACCTCTTCTTCAATCTCATCAAGGGTGCCTTCCTCGATGGCCTGAGAAGCAGTAAAGTACATCAATACACCTTCCTTTTTATAACCAAAGGTTCAATACAATGCAGTTGTGATTCCTCATTCACCTTCAGCCATTGTTTCTCTGTGAGGGAGTCGCTGTAGTCCACTTCTTTTCTTTGGCGGGAGCCACGGCCGAACATCTTCTCCTCTTCTTCTTCGCAGGTCAGCCTTTCCACCTCTGCGTCGTCCTTCATGATCCAGGTGGGCAGCTCATCCTCCTCCATCAGCCGGGGTTTGCGTTTCGGGTTGCGAGCCTCTTCACGACGGCGGTCGAGATCCATGCGCTGGATGAAAGGAAAAGGAAAATTAGGAGTCAAACAAAACAAAGAGTGTCAATGTAAATGGAAGTTTAGCAAGTAGTGCTGCTAACCATGAAGTGATCGAACTCTTCCTCGCTTCTAGCGATCATCTGATTAACAGTCTCATCATCTGGCACTTCATCTTCCTCCTGAGATATGAGAGAAAACAAAAGTGAGTGAATTTTAACTACGGAAAAAGGAGGCTGATGTCAGGACACTGAAATTATCGATCATGAACGGGTGTCTGTACCTCATCCTGCTCTTCGTGCTCCAGGATGGCCTGCAGGAAAGCTCTGCGCTCGTGGCTGGACGACTTCTGGTCGAACATACCGGCCTGGATGACCTTCTGGTCCACGTTCAGCTTGTATTTGGCAGCAGCCAGGATCTTCTCCTCCACGCTGTTCACGGTGCACAGACGCAGCACACGCACCTCGTTCAGCTGCCCGATACGATGGGCGCGATCCTGGGCCTGCAGATCCTATGACAGACAAGAAAGAAGCATTCAGAAAACATAAAATATTATGAAAAAATAAAAACAACAAGAGATATTGTATCAAATCGATAAGAATCATGACGATCACAGAGAAGAAACCCGCTTCAGTAATAAAATTACTGAAAATGCTACCCATTCTATTCTACAGAAACTAAAGATTCTCTATACAAATGTATTGAATTTTGTTTTACCCAGATTCTATTGTACTAAAGCTTACACGGTAACATTTTACAATAAGGTGCAATCTGTAAAAATTAGCAATGAAAAATTTCGTAAAAAAATTCTCAGCATTTATAATATTATTTTAATTTAGGTTAATGTTAATTTCTACAAACACTAATCCTGTTAAAACATTTCAAGTTGCTAAATGAACAATGCATTATCAATAAACAAGCAATACTATGTTTATAAAAAATATTCAATTATACATTCTATTCAACAGTGATATAAAGATTCTATTCTATAATGACACTATTCAAATGATTCTAAAGATTCTATACTAAAGATTCAGTTCACCAATGTATTATAAAATTACTTACAAATTAACATTTGATTATACATTCTATTCTAAAGAGTCTATTGTACAATGATATCATTTAAAACAATTCTAAAGATTCTATTCCACAATGACTCTGTACTAAATATTCAGTTCTGCAATTAATGAATTCTAAAGATTCTATTGCAGAGTGATACAATTCAAATGCTTCTAAAGATTCTATTCCACAATGCTTCTATACTAAAGACTCAATTCTGCAATGAATCCATTCCTGTTTTTTTATTTATTAAATATTGTTATACATTCAATTGTACTAGGGATGTCACGAGAACCGATACGATTCGATGGTACCGAAGGTAGCGACTAGCGAGGCTGCAATTCTTCCGGAAATGATGGGGAGGAGGCAGAGTACACGCCTGGAAGTGTTTCAGTCGGTCCTCAAAGGGTAAAGAAGAAAAAACGCCTACAAGCACAGAAGAACTAAACGTGGAAGACAGCGACGATTTATGAATATGATTGTGTGAGATTTAAATGAGCGTGCATCTCTGATAGCACGAGTGCTGCGCATGATCACACACACATAAAGTTACTGACTGTCTGACAGCTTGTTCATTCATTGTGTATCCGTGCGCAGATTATCCCTATTAACATTATTGGCTAATATTACTGGTTTAAATAATTGTTGTTCATGTTAATGGTTAAAAATGCCAGTATGTCAGTGAATTTAAACTAATGCTTACATTGAGAGTATAGGTGTATGTAATATTTGAAGGCCAAGTGCCACTAATGTTGTGTTTTTTTAATGTTAAATAAAGGAGTTAATGTTTAAGTATTATTGTTATTTTTTTCTGTGGTATCGACTTGGTATCGGCACCAACTACTAGATTTTTGGTATCGTGATATCCCTAAATTGTACAATGATTCTTAAGATTCTATTCCACAATGATTCTGTACTATGAATGAATCTATTCTAAAATCTCTTCACTAATGATTCTAATATATACTTTATGTAAGCTCTAACTATTCTGGCTACAATAAAGTGAGTGGGATTTGTGAACAATAAACTACTACAAGAACTTGTGTCACATCAAGAGTTTCCCCTATTGTTAATAAACACCACTATATTTAAAGGGACAGTATTGTACCTGGTGAGGGTTCCAGTCGCTGTCAAAGATGATAACAGTGTCAGCAGTCTGCAGGTTCAACCCCAGACCTCCTGCTCTGGTACTCAGCAAGAAGATAAAGTACTGAAAGGACGGATCATTAAAGTTCTTTAGCAACATGCCACGATCCTCAGCCTTAGTGGTTCCTGCAAAGACAAAAGAACGATGTTAGCACTAGGGCTGCCACTAACGACTATTTTAATTTCGATGAATCTATCGACTAATTTATCGATTAATCTAAACGATTAATTTCCCACAAAAAAAAAAATCTACAATTTTACTTAAGAATATTTTATTAAACTATATTTCATTAAACCAAATGAAATCCAAAAGTAAAAAAGTAAAGTGCAACATAAAGTGCAAGTAGTAAGTGTCCATCTCATAGTCCAAATCACTGAAATCAAAGTTCAGTATTATAGTGTAAGAATGACAACATATCCACGTGTTCTAGTCTACTAATAATAAAATTATAATCAAAAAACACTTTTAAAAGGTGAATTTGGTAAAGGTAAAACTGTAAAACTCAATTAATTAGGCTTTTTGATTAATACAATTTAATTTAACCATCAAAACAGAGTACAGAAAAATGAAAATGGAAAAAAATTAATTTGGAAATAAAACGGATTTCATAGTTCCCTATAATTATAATACATTTTTTTTGTGGTAATAAAAACAGATGTAAGTGAACAATAGTCTTTAAAATTACTTAAAATATGTATATAATAGCAATGAGGCAATAATAATTAGTTCAAATAAAGTATCAAAAGCAAGAAATCATATGGTTTTATTGAACAGAACTTAAAATACAATATGAATTATAAACAATAGAGCTAATGTACACTACGCATTACAACAAATGCCTGCAGGGGGCGCCAACGGCCAGATTTTTTACACATTACTGTGCGATCTAATCCGTGTTCAATATTGACCAAGCACCATTTCATTCAAATGTGTCTTCTCACCTTCTTGTCTTTCTCAGAGCCATCAGTTAGCAGCACTCCTTTAGCCTGCATGTGTCTGTACAGCACTCTCTGTAGAGCCGACATGTCGCACTTGATCACATATTCCACCTGAACACAAGAAAACAGAGATGTAAAGAGTTACTTTTCAATGTAAAAAAAAAAAAGAGCATATGATAAAGTGTGATGTAAATTTTGCAGCAAACATGGCAATCAGTTTTTTCTTTCTTCAGCAAATCAATTCATAATTGACTCTTTGTTGTTCTCATGTATCAAAATGTTTTACTAAAATGACAACACTGTTTAAATGTTTGGGGTCAATACATTTTTATCAGTATAAGCAAGTAGTAACAGTACAGACTTCTACATTGTTACACAAACTTTGAATTTCATATTTAAAGAATATTGAAAAAATAAAACTCCACAAAACAATTACGCAGCACAAATGTTTTTAACACTGAAAATCAACATATTAGAATGATTTCTTCAGGATCAAATAGTAAAAGGTTTAATACTTGTAATAATATTTCACAATATTACCATTTTAAATGTGATCAAATAAATGTAGCCCAAGCTTCTGAACAGTAGAGCATAGGGATGCAACGATTCACTCAACTCACAATTCGATTAGCGATTTTTATTTCACGATTCGATTCACGATTTTTTTAACAAAATTAGATTTAAGACAAATTATAAATTAAATGTGTCCTTTTATTATTGCTTCGACAAAATACTGTACGTTTCTTTGTGAAATTGAAATATAACACTTTAATAATATACTAATATAGCACTTGCATATTATTGCTCTTTTGTTAGTTTTGATTGCTTCTATTGTCCTCATTTGTTAGTCACCTTGGATAAAAGTGTTTGCTAAATAACAATTTTAATTTAATGTAAATGTAAATAACAAAACTAAATT